TTCACTCGTGGTCAAAAGAAAAAAGATAAACATTGATCATGCCCATATTAAAGACATAGGGGTTGTTTTAATTTTAGTGCACTAAAAATTAATGGTCCGAAGTAATCAATGATACTGAAATAAAGGTCACTACTGTAAAACAAATTGTAAGAACAATATTTTCAAGGAATGGAGTGCCTGAAATTTTCGTCTCAGATAACGTGCAAGAATTTTGCGAAAAAGACTGTGCTAGGGATTAAAGCGTGTTGGATGCGTCACGTATAAAACACCACCTTACCACCCACAATCGAATAGAATCGCAGAAAGAGTGCTACAGATTCTAAAGATGGCACTAAAAGCATTCCCCGATCTAATGATAATATAGAGAGTTACTTACCAAGATTATTGTTAGGCTATAGGACAATTCCACATGTCGGCAAAGTCCCTCCACATTAATGGGTAGACAGATTAGAGCTCCAATAACAATGTAATTTTTACAAGGGACAAAGAATCTAATCCAGAGAAGGCGAACTTTGTAATACAGAAAGGACACAAAACAACAATACTAACAATAAATGGACAAAATGTACTGGTTTACGCGGATCAATTCAGAAGCAAAATTGAACCCGCGGATATAGAAATCAACGAAGAATCTGAAGATGGAGAACATAAAGGAGAGAATTAGCATCCATAGATTGTTCAGTTTCAGTCGTGGGTTTGTTAGTCACTAATCCACGAATGGAACTGAACAATCTATGGATGCTAATGACCAGAAACCTGACAAGGATTCGGAAAGTCGAAAATGAACAAAGATTTATGTCCTCTGTAAGAAGAAAACAAGATACACACCAAAAAAAGACAGTTTTGTTCCCCAAGAATAATTAGAAGAAGTCAAAGATCAACGAAAGACATAAGGCCATTTTGGTTCAGGGTGGAGTATTATTGTTTGTAAATCAGGTACTGCTCTAAAAACAGTACGCTACAGCAAATGCCAGTAGAGCTACCATTTGTTGACCAGACAACATTTATTACAGAGTGTACTCTACTTCATAACATACTTTCAATAATAAAAACAGAGCATCTACCGAAATATGAGTATCTATTAAACAAATTGCTTAAAAATATATCGTATTCAATACATTTATGTTTATTCTCCTACAATATACAAATTATTCATCATCATCCTCATTTCGATGACAGAGTGTGGCCCTGGAGTCTCTGCGCAGCTGAGTATTGGACCAGTTCACTTCACATAAATTGTTTGAAAACATTTGCTGGCGTCTGGTTGTCGGTACGTAGGAACTGAGCTGCTTGACCTTCATACGTCGAAGACAACAGGAGAGCCACTATATATATTGTTATGGTCCAGGTTAGGACCAAGGAAGAACAACACGAACACAAGAGTAGAAATAACAAAGGTATATTACACGAAATCATAATACAAGATGTGGAAGGTCTTAGTATGACTATCAGTCTGGTTTGGGTGAACTACTATCGACTCGACTCGATTAGGTATCTAACCACCCCCACGAGGGTTGCATGTAGCACAAGGCCGAGTTTAACGTGGGTTTCCGGAGCCAGTAAAGCGGCCAAAAATGCCCGTAGAACCCGTATAAACGGGATCGGTTGGTCAACCTCCCCCGAACGAGAGTCTACCCTTCGGCGGAGCCTCGTCCGGGTTCCTTTCTGCTCAGAAGCAGAGTTCGACCGTCAAGTCGAGAAGCTCGGCTTGATTCGTCCCTCTCTCTTGAGAGGGTAGTATACATAGTGTTAGGAGAGTTCATTCTGTAGTTGTAGGTGGGACCCATAACATATATATATATATATATATATATATATATATATATAGTTTTAGATGTTCTATATATAAATAGCCGAGTCTCAACGCAACCACATGGCGTGATGATTGCGTTTAAGCACGAAGCTGATTGTCTCTGCTGGGGTGTAGACCCTCAATGTCCACTTTTATGTTGGCACGCGTTTATTTAACTGTTATTATACATAATATTATATTATTTGTCGGAAGATTTTACATAAATGTTTCTCTTTTAAGGCCGTGCAGAGAATGACGATAAACTACATCCGACGGCAAGGCCACTTATTGGAAGATTGGAGGTGTTGAGGAACATTGAACTTACCTCTTAACTATTACTGCTCCCAAGCCTATCCTGATCCGAGGTGGTAACAATTGTTATAGACCCAGCTATGGGTAAATAGTGAATCCCCACCCAAACAGAAATCAATCGTAAATTTTTGTAAGAAAATTACCAAAAATAGTTTTTTTTTTTTATATTAAAATTACCAGTAACAAATATATACACATGGTACATTTTATCATGTAAAAGGTGCCCAGTATAAACGTATCTGAAATAAACGTATGTAAATATAAATATAAAAGTGAACATTGAAGTTAATATTCAACACTCAGAGGCGACAGGCTGTTTCATGCTAGACGCAATCGTCAGGCTGCCTAGCATGAAACAGCCTGTCGCCTCTGAGTGTTGGATTCAATGTTTACTTTTTATTTATTTATATATAAGATAAATCCTAACTAGCCAGGCAAATCTACCTAGGTTTCTGGCTCGTTAGAATTCAGTCTAATTTACTGCTCTACTTAGCCTACTGAGAATTCTACGTTTTAGCCTTTATATGCGTTTGTTTGTTTTTTGTTTTTTTGGACTAAAGACTTAAGACCCTTGACGATTTGTTTTGCCTTCTTCTGATGATTTTAGTTCTTTCTAATTTTTTTAGTTACAATTTTTTTCCTCGGGTACCAGCATGCCCTCAGGTGTCAACAAGTTAAGTCATCCGAGGTTTTTCAAGCAAGTAATACTGTTAATATATATATATATATA